AGATAAATAACCTTTACCATTTACTAAAAGGCACCAGTGGCCAAACTTCAAAAATGTAATCACTGCTGGAGTTTCAATTCTATCTGGGACCCCAGCACTTCACACACCGCATCCCTGTGACCTTGGGAAAGTGAATGTAATACAGACGAAGCACGAGATGCCTCATGGGAACTGTAGCCTTTCCTAAAGTTCCCCAAGTCACAGTGATGGGGGAATGAGACATTTGTGGGGGGCTAGCGATCGGAGTCTGTGCCAGTAGCCTGATGCTCATTCCTGTTAGCCTGTAGTCTCGTCCAGGGGTGGGCGACCTTTTTGTGAGTGCGAGCCAAAACCAGCAAAATCTCTGACTCAAAATTCTTCTGCGTGCCAACCCTAATTTTTTGAGAACATGTTACTCTTACTTGATATCTCTTAAGGTGTACGTATGTGAAGAACCTTGAAGAAATAATAAAATTCATTCAAGCGACAAAAACACAGTCTATGATGATGAAAAATACATTTATTTTTTAATGTATACATGTACACTGATAGTCCGACAGAAAATTTATGACTCTTTGATATTATCAGTGGGACTTTTGCTGCTGCATCACTGATGACAGAGATTTTACATCAGGTTTACATTTCGTGACCTTCAGAGATATGCACCAGCTACTACTTTCACCTGTCAGGCTACTCCTATTACGAGACTTAACAAAATTCATCACTGAGAACAAAGATTCACACACGTATGTGGATGAAAACATGGAGAGTAACGCTGTTGCAAAGTTTTTTAAACAGAAAAAATTTTCTGGAATGGCATTCCAAGTCCTCAATAGTTCGTTTTCGACACTATACACTATTGAAAATGCTCTTCCCCTCTCTCGTCAATCCATGTCTATGGTATTTAAGATAACTTGTTATGTAAAATTATTTATCTAAGATGCACCTACACTGAATTTATCTGAAAAATAAAGTTGATATTAAGAAAAAAATTGTAAATGGAAGATTATAAGAGAGGGTTTCACGTGCCAGCAGAAGTTATTCCTGGTCTAGTCATGGCCCCTTCCTTAATTATCTGGTCCTGCAAGCCCTGTTTACCTAAGTACTCCAAGATCCAGATCCGGGACATTTTCTCTCTATGTATTGAAAGGGTTAGAGAATAAAAGGGGGCAGAGAAAGACTCGTGCTCAGCACAGTGGTCGGCAAACTCATTAGTCAACAGAGCCAAATATCAACAGTACAACGACTGACATTTCTTTTGAGAGCCAAATTTTTTAAACTTAAACTATATAGGTAGGTACATTGTTATTAACTTAACTAGGGTACTCCTAAGCTGGCCTTTGCTAAAAACGTCCTCAATCTGATTGAGGTACGTTCGCTGAGGTCGACCCCTTCCAACTCTCCCATCCACACTCGTCTTGTAGACTTGTTTCGTCTATCTCCTTTCCGAAAACTGACTTCTGCGCATGGGCCACGAAGTTTCAATCACACTGTACGTGCGTGCCCGCACGTGGTATTTTGTGGAAGAGCCACACTCAAGGGGCCAAAGAACCGCATGTGGCTCGCGAGCCTCAGTTTGCCGACCACTGGCTTAGTAGAGATCTTGCAGAAAGCTTGCAGCCTTGAGCACAGCATAGCTCAAATAACCAGAAGACACCTGGCATGGGAGGAACCAAGGACGGACCAGACCCTTCTGTCAGCAGAGCGCCCGCAGCCGGCAAAAATCAATAAAACCTTCTCTCTCCCTGCGCTCCTCGCCGAAGCCCCCCTCGGCATAAACCATGAACAATACACAACCCCTAGACGGGGTTATCAGCGCTGACGCCAGGCCAGGCCAGGCCTCTAGGTATGGTCTCCCGGCCCCCACCCCAACACACGGGGCTTTCTGCAAAGCCCGCAAAAGGTCCCATCCCGTATTTGGGGGACAGAGAAAGCAAAGGGTATAAAGGGAAAGCTTCCTCCGTATTGGTTGGCTCAGGGTTTGGAGAGAAGCCGTCTGCCCCGAGTCACTGACCGGGACACGTGAGACATCTGAAAATAAATGGCTTTTTCCTGGCCGCCGGGAAAATTCCGTAACAATAGCACCCACAGGCTAGCAAGGAGGGAAAGACTCCTGTGGTAAGAACTCACTTGTTCAGCTCCAGAGGTCACACTGGAGAGAGGCCGCGAGTGCCATGAATGCGGGACAAGCTTTGGGTCCAAATGCAGACTCGAGGGCGAGGGCGCAGCAGAAGTCCCCGGAGAAAGGCCTGGCGCGTGTGCGAGCGCGGGAAGCTTCTGCACAGAGGAGTCAGGGGAGGGAGACGGGCCTCCGGTGTGGGCAGCGCAGGGACCCTCAGCAGGACACCAGCC